TCTACATGGTTGCTTTTATTTACAACAATATTTATGATAAAAAATAGTAATGCTAGAAAAGGATGTTGATGGGAATACCTCTTGAGCGAGCTTTTATAAAAGATGCTTCCAATATGGTTGACTTGAGGTGCTTTTTGGTTGCCTTACACGTCACAATTTACCTCAAAAATCTCAAGAAATACAAAGAGAGGGAGAAAGAGAAGCTTTTGAGATATATGGGACTTTGGTAGGCAATTTTTGGTCCCAAGAACTATACATGAGTCTCATATATATAGACGTCAAACTTTACTGGAACGAGTCGTTCCAATCACCGGAATGGGGCATTTTGGGTTAGTTTATTATGAGAGATTTTTGAATCTGGAATGTCTCATTCTAAAATCAAAATGGTTTGTTCCAGATTTAAAGTTAACTCATAACAACTAGGTCAAAACCACCTGTTCCAGTTTGGGATTGCCCCATTTTGACCTAGAGTTTCTAGGGCATATTAGAAGCTTGTAACGGCCTATTTTAGGCTCCTAATTCATCCTTTTGGGTTTTTGGGCCTTTTGATGTCATTCTAGTCCATTTTGATGTCATACTCAAGCCTTCAGAAATTCTTTGTCTTGCACTAAAGGCCCATTTCCTTGTTTGCATATCCCTGACTAAATTAGGTGTCTATAAATGCCCTTTTTTACTTATCCTTTCAATAGCTATATATTGCTTTTCGAAAGGCAAAGTAAAGATGTAGAAATTTTGTCCGGATCTTCTCTTTTGCTTCGCAATATAGGTGCTTCCACATTGCTTCCTTTGGGTGGATGAGTTTACCTATATCCTTTCCCTTTGGAGCAACTAAGTGTCGGGTTGTGTGCTCCGTTAGGGAACAAGGATGGCAAAATGTACCATCTAAACTTTTGGTCTTTGTATGGATGCCCTGTACTATTTTTGTTTTCCTTATTATGATGAGGTGAAGATCCTTTTTAGTTTTCAGCGGAGAGAATGTTTTGAGCATAGCCTCTCCATGTTGGACTAGTATTAGGGCTTCCTACTAGCCTAAGTCGTGATGTTAGTATCATCTCTCCAGACTTCTCCTTGTGGCTTTATCATACACCAGTGGGGGCAGATGAGTATTCTCTAAGCTCAGCCTCTCCAGGCTGGACTGATATTAGGGCTTCAGTCGACCTAAGTCATGATGTGAGTACTATCTCTTCAGACTTTCCCTTATGACTTTATCGTACACCAGTGGGGGAGATGAGTATTCTCTAAGCTTAGCCTCTCTAGGCTGGACTGATATCAGGGCTTCAGTCAACCCAAGTCATAATTTGAGTACCATCTCTCCAGACTTTGCCTTATGGCTTTGTTGTATACTAGTGGTGGAGATGTGTATTCTCTAAGCATAGCCTCTCCAGGCTGGACTGATATTAGGGTTTTAGTTGACCCAAGTTGTGATGTGAGTACTGTTTCTCCTAACTTTTCCCTTATTTCTTTGTCGTGTACTAGTTCAGGAGATGGGCATTTTCTAAGCTCAACCTCTCCAAGCTAGACTAATATTGAGGCTTGAACCGACCCAGGTTATGATTTGAGCATCGTCCCTCTATATTTTTCTCTTGTGACTTTGTCATATACTAGTGAAGGAGATGAGTCTTCTTTGAGCTCAGCCTCTCCAGGCTGGACTAATATCAAGGCTTCAGCCGACCCAAGTTGTGAAGTGAGTACCATCCCTCCAAACTTTCCCTTATGGCTTTGTCGTATACCAGTAAGGAAGTGAGTATTATTGTGTCGGCTTCTCCAGGCCGTCTATCATGATGATGTAGTTTGAGAAATCTAGTGGTGCCCTCGTTTTTTTAATTTTATTTGTAGAATAGGCTGCCTTAGGGATGATGGGTAGAAGGTGTTTTATATGCCCCTATCTTGGGCAATCTTTGTTGACTGAGTTTGAAGGTTAGCAAAAACTTTATGATGTTCCTACTATGTGAGTATTATGATGCCTCTCCAAGCATTTTCACTAGGGAATGGATGGTAGGGATTCTAGTGTTGCTTCCACCATTTGAGTATTGTGATGCCTCTCCAAGCATTTTCACTAGGGAATGGATGGTAGGGATTCTAGTGTTGCTTCCACCATTTGAGTATTGTGATGCCTCTCTAAGTGTCTTTATTAGGGGAGGAAACATGTGGCAGGGATTCTAGTGTTGTTCTTGTCGTGTGAGTATTGTGATGCCTCTCCAAGCATCTGTACTGGGGATGTACGGTGAGATATTTGTATTCTTCCTACCATATGAGTATTGTGATGTCTCTCCAAGCATCTTTTTGGGAATTTTTGACTGGTGATTGGTTGGTAGGAATCTAGTATTGCTCTTGTGATGTGAGTATTATGATGCCTCTTTAGGTGTCTGTCGTGATATAAGTATTATTGTGTCGGCCCCTTTAGGTTGCTTGTTGTGATGTTGAGTATTATTGTGTCAGCCTCTCTAGATCAACATCCTAGGTTAATTTGTGATGTTGAGTATTATTGTAGGTAGCACCCTTGTGCTAGTGGGCAAAAGATTGCATTTTTCTTCTCATTGGAGTTATTTCACAAAGACTTGTCGTGGTAAAGAAGAAGGGGTAACAAGCACGTACACTTGGAGAGTGCATTACAATGGATAGTTGTTTAAATGCGTGATTGCTAGGGTGAATCCATCTAGATGTACTATGGGGGTGTTATTTGGGGTGGTGCTCATTGAAGTGATGTCTTGACAACTAAGAGGTAGGTGTGAACGTTTTTATTTTTCTATTGGAGTTGTTGGGGTGTTGAGGGGTGAAGTGTTGTGGAGTAGTGGAAACTCCTGTGGTGATGTGGTATTTGCTGACGTGGCTTAAGGGTGTTGTGGTTGTCTTGCAGATTTTTACCGATCTTTATCTTGTCGAGTTGAGATTGGGTTGATGCGATTGCTGCTACGGGGAGACTCTACCCCTTGCTTGGTAGTTGAATCCCCATGCTGAGGATTTTTCTAAGTCTTAGTTTTATTATGATTTTAGCTTTGACTTTTTCTTCTGTTGAAGCTTTGCCTTTTTTGTATTGTCATTTCCTATCATTATTGGTGGAGAGATCTCTTCCTCATGGTGATGATGCTTGTTGGGTCTTTATGAAGTTAGCAAAAATGCACACAGAAGGGGGGGTTGAATGTGTGTGTGTGTTCGAAGGAAGATTTTTCAAAATCGCTTTGTAAAGATACTCTTTTTTCTTTTAATAAACAGAATGTTCAATCACTATTGAAAACTTGTGCAGGCTTGACTAACTGGAAAACTTTTTACGTCCAACAAATCTGATCGTCTATTTCAAGAATGTCGCCACCGGCCCAAACGGGCCTCGGCGGT